TCAGTGGCTCAGCCTGTAATCCCAAACCTTTGGGAGGCTGAGGTGAGTGGATTGCCTGAGTTCGCGGGTTTGAGACCCGCCTGAGCAACTTGGCGAGACCTCATCTCTACAATAAATTAAAAAATCAGCCGGGCATGGTAGTGCATGCCTGTAATTCCAGAAGGCTGAGGTGGAAGGATCGTCGGAGACCAACAGGTCGAGGCTGCGGTGGCTGGGAGCATGCCACTGCACTCCAGTCTGGGTGACAGAGTGAGACTCCAACTCAGAAAAAAAAAAAAAGAATTTGGTAGATTCATTTGGGGTTGTCAATTGAAGTGGCTAGCTTGGTGTCTGGCCTTTAAAAAAAAATATGGAACGCTTCACGAATTTGCGTGTCATCCTTGCATGGGGCCACACTCATCGTCCCAAAGTGTTTGGCCTTTAGGTTTAGAGATGGGTTTGAGGTGGAGAGTTTGTGCAGGGGCAGCAGACATTGGGCTCTCGAGAGCTTGTGGGGTTGGGACTGACCTTGGAGGGTTGGGTTGGGTATGACAGGAGTTGGGAACGGAACACTGGGCAGGTGGTGCGGGCTGTGGTTGAAGCTGTGGTCATAACTGGGAATCCGTGGCTAGGCCTGGGGCTGATGGGAACTTTTCTCCTCCTCCATCCTGGCCCTCACCTTGGCCACCTCTACCTTTCCCAAGACACAGCAGACACCACACACCCAGCTTGCACATCTTTATTGGCCCGGATGTGGGGTTGCCAAACAGGCTGCCCCTATCCTGTGCCAGCCCAGCTGTGAAGACCTTCACCCTCGTTCTGAGGGAGACCAGCTCCCTGCCGGGAGAGGTCAGAGGTCAGCAGACATCCCGGGCGCCTTGCGGCCCTCATTCTGATTGGAGAGTGATCCACGCCTGTGCGTCGAGTCTTCCTCTCCTAACCCTCGGGACCGGCGCTGAAGGTGCTGCCCCGCCTGGAACAGGGAGGCCACGTCCAGCAGCGCGTCCTCGATATGCTGCCCCAGCCTGTGGGAGTCCTGGGAGGAGAGAAGTGTCAGGTCTGGGGCTGAGAAACAAGAGGGTTGGGGGCCTGGGCTCCTGGGTCCTGAGGAGAGAGGGGTTGGGGATGTCCACATCTGTCTCACCGTCTTTGTGCTTGATTTTTTGCTGGAGATGTGGAAGGTGACCATGTCATCCCCCATGAAGATATAAGAAACACCGTAACCATGGTCATCGGCCTGGAGGGAGAGAGGGAAGGGGACAAAATAACCCCAATGCCCTCCTCCTCCCCCCCCCGCAGGCCCCCAGCTCCCTCTTTCCCAGGAGGACGGGAGCCAGGACCCCAGCTCCACTTACAGGCCCGAATCCACCACCCGAGGAAACATAATCCGGGTAATTGTGGACGTCAAACAGGTGCATTTGCTGAACAGGGATCTGGCTGGTAGACAATTGCCACTGCTCTGAGTGGACCTGAGAACAGGAGACTGTCACATGTGCGGGAAAGAGACCGCAGGTCTGTGCCCACCTTGGCTCCATTCTACTCCAGGCATCCCTGGCCCTTCCTCACCTCCTCTGACTGCCACTTTCCTCTAAATCTGTTTCCCTTTCTCCCTTACCACGCCCCTCCCCCTCTGACCACGTCCTTTCTAGTGTCCTCTTCTGACTAGTCTCCACCCTCTTCTCCCGCTGACGGCGCCCCAATTAGCCTCTCTTGACCACGCCTCCTCCGTCTCCCTCTGAACACTTTCCCATAACCACACCCTCCTCCTCTTATGGCCACGCCCTCTTCCTCTGACCACGCCCTCGCTCTCCACCCCGACCACGCCCCCTCCTCCTTTCCTCCTCTTTCTTGCATCTCCCCGCTGGCGATGCCTCCCTTTTCAACATCACCCTCCTCGCCCTGAAGTCTCTCCCTTCTTCCGTGGTTCCCTCCCTCCCTCTCTAACCCCTTCCCTGCACCCCAACCTGGGTCAGGAAGGGCGACTGCAGGTGGAGGAATCGGGACACGACGTAGAGCGCAAAGAGGTGGCGGTCGACTCCCTGCCCGCTCATGGCTGCCTTCAGCAGAGCCTGGTGCTTGTCCACGGCCACACGGAACAGGGCCAGGCGCTGCGGGTCCTGGGGTCGCCGGGGAGGTCACAGGCCATGGAAAGACAGGAAGTGGGCTTACTGCTGGGCCTGAGGCACACGTCGCCTCAATCCAGCTTGCAACACCCCTGCAAGGCAGGGATGTCAACCTCATTTCACAGATGAGAAACTGAGGCCAGAGAGGGGAAATCAGTTGCCCAGGTTCCAGCAGCAATGCAGAAGCAGGTGGGTTCCCAGGCCTGACTGATTCCAGAGCCCACACTTCTTCCTTCCATTGAGCCACAATACCTCACAGGAGGGGGGGGGACAGAGATCCCTGGGGGAGTTCTGAGTAGAGAGGTTATGGCGGATGGTGCAAATGGAGGTCACAAGACCATAGAGGTAAAATTAGCAGAGTTACATAGTGGAAACAGGGCTCCCTTCCAGGTGTTGACCTTGGGATGGACTCTATGTGACCACAATTTTTTTTTTGAGTTGGAGCCTCACTCTTGTCGCCCAGGCTGGAGTGCAGTGGCACGATCACAGCCACTGCAGCCTCGACCTGCTGGGCTCCGGCGATCCTTCTGCCTCAGCCTTCCAAGTAGCTGGAACTACAGATGCATGCCACCACCACGCCCGGTTAATTTTTGTGATTTATTGTAGAGACAAGGTCTCACCAAGTTGCCTGGGCTGGTCTTGAACCCACGGGTTCAGGCAATCCTCTCACCTTGGCCTCCCAAATTGCTGGGATTACAGGCTGAGCCACCGCACCCAGCCTTTTTTTTTTTTTTTTTTTTTTT